CTCCTGCCTACTTGCGCCCTACTGTAGGTGTGCTGCGCACCCTATTTCTCGTCCCCCAACTTCTCCGACACCTACTCTACTACTACTAGTACTACTGCCTACGCTCTGGACCGTCCCTTTCTTCCTGCCCCGTTTACTGTCCCCGTCGTCTGCCACGCAGTCTAGCCCTCCTTGCCTCTCCTCCTCCGGCTTGCCACGCTCATCCCATCCATCTCTCCTACTTCCTATCTTCCGTCTCGCTTTATCATCCGCTCTATCCACTCGCCCATCACCAGCCGCTCCTCTAACCTACCTTTCGCTCCCCTGATGGGCCTCTTCCATCACCCGACGCTGTTTCTGCCGCTGTTGAGGTAGTGTGTGGTTGACGGGGCGTGTGGTTGGTCTTCAAAGACGCTCTCATCGCCTGGCTGCAGTCATGGCATCTGCACATCATTCCAGGAGGTCCAATGAGGGCCCTCATGGCGAGATGCCTATTGGCCATTACACCCGGCTGAACGAGATCGGTCGAGGGAGTTTTGCCGTGGTCTACCAAGGTGTTCATACGGTAAGTTGGGATCCTGTTTCCTCTGATTCTTATAGCTGCCGAAGATCTGGCCTGTTTATATAGCTCGGTGTTTTCGGATGTGAAATTACAAGGGCTAACCAGTGATGATGCGGTTTCCGCGATTTAGAGATCACGCACATATGTGGCAATCAAATCGGTTACCATGACCAAACTCAGCAGGAAGCTCAAGGAGAACCTCGCCTCTGAGATTTCCATCCTCAAACAGCTCCACCATCCCCATATCGTCGCTCTCCTTGACTGCCATGATACGACCTCCAATATTCATTTGGTGATGGAATTCTGTGCTATGGGGGACCTTTCCCACTTCATCAAGGGGCGTCATACCCTGCGGGACAGCTCATACACACGGGAATTGATAGCGAAGTACCCCAATCCTGGGGATGGTGCGGGCCTTAACGAGGTGATCGTCCGCCACTTCCTTAAACAACTTTCGAGCGCACTCAGATTCCTTCGGGATCGTGATTTAATTCATCGGGACATCAAACCACAGAATCTGCTGCTCTGTCCTGCACCGTCGTCGTACCGCAGTGGGGCTGCTGAATTTGTACCTTTCAAGAGCAGCGAGGACTCCTTTAGCCCGAAGACCGGACTGGAGTCTCTGCCAATGCTAAAGCTTGCTGACTTTGGCTTCGCCCGGTCTTTGCCGGCCACCTCTCTCGCGGAGACTTTGTGTGGCTCGCCACTGTACATGGCCCCTGAGATCTTGCGATACGAGAAATACGACGCGAAGGCAGATCTATGGTCTGTGGGCACGGTACTTTATGAGATGGTAGTCGGGAAGGCCCCGTTCCGTGCAGTGAACCATATTGAACTCATCAAAAAGATCGAGAAAAATAAAGACCAAATAACATTTCCGCCGGCGAATCGTGTGTCGGAGGACATCAGGAATCTCATTAGAGGTCTCCTGAAGCAGCACCCAATGGATCGGATGAATTTCGATGTTTTTTTCGCGCACAAAGTTCTCACAGAACCGATTCCCGGTCTGGTAGCGGATGACACTCCCCTCGGGCGTTCTCCGGCCGACCCAACACCTCGACCTGGTTCCGGGTCAAGGCGTAGCACGCCCGTTCAAATGAAACGTGAGAATGCGCTGTCTGCTGGAGTCCGGGATGAGCCATCGACTTACCCGGCGGCTCAACGAGCCATGACACAGAGCCCTCGGCCAGAGACCCCTTCAACGCCTATGCGGAGGACTGGAAGTGCGGGCAAGCATCATGCTGCTCCGAATGAGCCTACACCGCCAGCATCTCATCCCACAAGGCCGAGCCCAGTGTCTCTGGCGACTGCCCCTGGCCGCCAGGAGCATGTCGATCGCCCTCCCACGACGGCCGTCTTGGAACAGCAACGGAGACGTACGGCATCCTCGGGAGTGCCCCAAGTTGACAAACCCGCCGAGAAAGCGAAGGACGAAAAGGAGCATGCTGCACAAGAGGTAGCATTTGAGAGGGACTACGTGCTTGTGGAGAAGCGTGCGGTAGAGATGAATGCTTTTGCTGACGAACTGGCCTACAACCCACGAATGCAGGGTGGCCAAGGAGGTGCAGTATCCCGGCGTTCGGGAGCGGCTCCAGGCACACCGCCGGCCGGGGGTTCGTCGCCTCATGCGTCGCCCAGCAAAGCCATGCAAATCATCTCAGGGCGTTCCCGTGCCGATTCAACCCACGTCCGTCAAAATTCATACGATCGCCGCTATGGACAAAGCCCTACGTCGGCTACATCGGCCATCTCAAAGGCTCTCAATATGGCCAGCGGACGTTTGTTTGGAATGAGTTTCTCACCACCCCTGACCATCACGAAAGGCGGACGCTCGCCTCCGTTGGCCTACAATCCGTTTCCCGCATACCCAAGTGCCCAAACGAGCTTGATTGTCCACGCGGATGGGGGCAAGCACGGTACCAACTTGGACGAAGATAGCAAAACCGTCCATGATCTCGAGGAGTGTGCCACGCGCAGTGATGTCGTGTACGGGTTTGCCGAAGTCAAGTACAAGCAACTGATTCCACTAGCACCATCTGCCGCCACTGGGTTTTCGGGAGACCCAGCATCGGATGCTGTCGATTCGGCGGATGGTGGACTCACGGTCGATGCTATTGTGACCTTATCTGAGGAAGCCCTGGTTCTCTACGTTAAGGCCCTGTCATTGCTGGCGAAATCGATGGATATTGCGCGTGTATGGTGGACTCGCAAGAGCCGGGGCGATACGCTCAGCAGAGTGGATACTGGAAGCACAGTCGCGGGCAATCGGATCAACAATGTCGTCCAGTGGGTGCGCAACCGGTTCAATGAGGTGCTGGAGAAAGCCGAATTTGTCCGGCTCAAATTAGTTGAGGCGCAGAAGAGACTGCCCTCGGATCATCCCAGCCATCCCAGCAACCTGTCGGTTGCATCCTCTTTAGGCTCCGGAACCTCTGCCGATGTGGTGGTCAGCCCCGACGTGACAGCAGAGAAGCTCATGTACGAGCGCGCATTGGAGATGAGCCGAGTGGCGGCTATCAATGAAATCACCGGCGAGGAATTAGCCGGTTGTGAAATCTCGTATGTCACTGCCATCCGGATGCTCGAAGCCATCCTGGATGATGTGGAAGTATCCCGACCGGGCCAAAACGGCGGCGCTGATAGAGCCGACGGCCGGCGGGACAACGAGGATGGCGGACAGAACGAGCCCCAGGCGGTGATTCTGGCGAAAAGTAAGTGTTCTCTCCACCTTAATGCACGGCACTGCGTAGGTAGGCGCTAACGCTTGGCACAGTGATATCGAAGATCCGGAATCGCCTGGCGTCGCTCCGGAAGAAACTGGCGCTGCTGTCGAATCGGTATACGCCCCCGTCCAGTGGACCGGGCAAAATGCCGCCGTCGAATCTCGTGCCAGTCTCCCCTGCAGTGGGAGCCACGCCGCCGAAATAAGACGTTGACCGTTAGAAGCATGCAGGACCATGCTCATTCTGCCCCTTTTCTATTTTATCTTATTTTCTTCTATTTCATAGCTCAGGTTGTGTGGGCATTGCTAATGCAGGCAACTACATTTCAAGCTAGTACCTTGACACGCGTGCGGGACTTGCTTCTACTTCTTCCATTCTCCACGCCAGTTCTCTCTGGGTTTTGATATACGCATTGACGCACGAGTATTTCATTGTTCTTCATACGGGTTTATTATAGGGTTGCCGTGTTATCTTTTTGCGTGTGTTGTTTCCTTTGTCCTTATCGAATTTCTTACTGGATTTCGCATGATTTACTTACAGGCCTGTTGGGCGGGTGTTTTTCTATTGGCGTTCAAGCTGGGGACCCGGGTACACAAATTGCCAGCGGACTTTGGATACGAGTGATGATGATGCCATGGGATCATAGTGAGTCAGGCAGGGTGGGTTAGGGATGGATCTTTAGGATGCAGATACTGCCAGTCGGAGGCAGCTGTACTGTATATACACATAATAACACGCGAATATGTTCATTTCGTGGCGAGGAAATGGTGCCCACTGGTTGGAGGGACTGCAGCGGATTTAGAGCTTGACCCACGGTGGCGGCATTGACTCTGGGACCCGGTCTGACCTTAACTTTACCTAACTTAAACGTGCAAGATCCAGGCCCAAATTGCGTGATTGATTTTAGTGTGTCATAGGAATTGCCTGAAGGACGTTGAACGGTTCACCATCCTCTGGGTCTTGTCTTAGTCTCTGGGTCATGGTTTGGGAGGATTGGGAGGATTGGGAAAGGGGAGTGGAGAGCTTCCCTCGTTCGGGTTCCGCTCCGACGCCCAGAAGAAGTTTTTTTTTCTGTACCAAAGAAATTCCCTTTTTGCCTCACGGGATCCCGAACAAAAATGACTCGACACATGGCGGGTGTCTGTCATTGCCCGTGCTTCATCTTGTCTCGGTCGCTGTCGTGATCTTTCACCCGTATCTTGTCATTCTTTTCCTTTTCTCTGATTATTTTTTTCTTCCTCTTCGTGATTTTCCGATAGACTTCAAGACTTCTCGTTTTCTAGAACAATTCTTTCTAACCTGTTGGGGGACTCGGTCGTGATCTATACTTGGAAAACAGTATTGACACCCGTGCCCTAACATAATATTGTCTTCACCTTTTCCGATATTCTCTTACATCAAAATTTTCGCATTTTTGCCTCTATCGCCCAGACACGTTCCTTTTCCAGTTGCTGTCCGGTTTTACAGGGGTCCTGCCTGCCTGATAGTTCTTGGCCTTCGTTTGTGTCCATACGCATCACGAGCAGACCCTGCTCGTTTTGGGATTGCATCACATTTAGTTCCAGCACATCATCGCGTCTTACGGTCTTTGCCTCCGGTGATAGCCGCTCACTTTGCGCCTGAATCTGGCCTGTTCGCTGCGCTATTCCCTACTGACTATATAGTCTTGGGGACGCTCTTTCGCCTGTCATCCTTGTGGACTCCTGTGTCTTTTTCTAACAATCTCAAACTCAATGATGACGGACCCGGTTGTGGAATCTGCCTATCAGAAGGGCATCTTGCCCGATGCCAAGGCTGTTGAGGAAGGTCCTCGTCGGACGGATGGTGTTTCTGGCTTGTGTATGTGATTGTCCTATCTCCTCCTAGGTCTCCTAGGTCTCTCCAACATATGAAGAATCCTCCCTGACTGTTTTGCTTCAGATGAAGGAAATGTCTTTGAGGCTACCCCTGACGACCGTCGTCAGATCGGTGTCATTAGTGCCTCCTTCCTGATCTTTAACCGTGTCATTGGTACTGGTATCTTCGCTACCCCGAGTACTATCCTGTCTTTGTCGGGTAGTGTTGGTCTGTCCCTGATCATGTGGGTCATTGGTACCTTGATTGCTATGGCTGGTACTGCTGTCTATCTGGAATGGGGTACTGCTATTCCCAAGAACGGTGGAGAGAAGAACTACCTCGAATATGTCTTCAAGAAGCCTAAGTTCCTGATGACGGCCATGTACGCGGCCTATGCCGTCCTGCTGGGTTGGGCGGCCAGTAACAGTGTCGTCTTTGGCGAGTATATCCTGAACGCGGCGGACATCGAAGTGGATCGTTGGAACCAGCGTGGTATTGGTTTGGCCTGTATCACGGCTGCCTTCCTCATCCATTCCTTTGCTGTCAAGTGGGGTCTCATGCTTCAGAACTTCCTGGGTGTGGTCAAGCTCGTCATCATCCTCTTCGTCATCGTTGCGGGATGGGTGGCTCTTGCTGGTCATATGAAGATCGATCCTCCTCACAACTTCACCAACGCCTTCGAGGGTACCACTGATACCGGCTATGGCATTGTCATGGCGTTGTACAATGTCATTTGGTCGTTCATTGGATACTCCAATGCCAACTACGTATGTTATTTCGCTTCTGTGCGTGGTGTGTATGAGATGCTAATATTGTTTTGCAGGCCTTGAGCGAGACCAAGAACCCTACTCGTACCCTGAAGATCGCTGCCCCCATTGCCATCATCTCGGTCGGCATCATGTACATGCTGTGCAACATCGCATACTTTGCCGCGGTCCCCAAGGAGCAGATGCTGTCCTCTGGCCAGACTGTGGCCGCCGCCTTCTTCGGCAACATGTTCGGTGCGCGCGCCGAAAAGGTGATGTCGGTCTTCGTGGCCCTGTCTGCCTTCGGTAACGTTCTGTCGGTCATCTTCTCGCAAGGACGAAGTATGTAGACACTTCCCCATTTCCCTCTATACCATCATACCTCGAGCGAAGCTAACATCGTATAACAGTCGTCCAAGCCCTCGGTCGCGAAGGAGTTCTCCCTCTGTCGAAGATCTGGGCCAGCAACCGGCCGTTCAACTCGCCCGCCGCTGGCCTCTTCGAGCACTGGGTCGTCTCCGTGATCATCATGCTGGCCCCGCCTCCCGGCGATGCCTACAACTTCCTCGTGAACCTCATCACGTACCCGCTGTCCATCGTCAACGTCTTCGTGTCCGGCGGTCTCGTCTACATCTACCTGACCAAGGAGAAGAACTTCCCCGACTGGGCCCCTGGTATTCGGGCAACTCTTCCCGTCACCATCTTCTTCTGCCTGTCCAACATGTACCTGGCGGTGGCACCCTACGTGCCCCCCAGTGCTGGACAGAGTGTCTACAACAGCCTGCCTTACTACCTGCACTGTGTGGTGGCGCTGGGCATCTTCGCCCTCGGCGCTATCTATTATCTGGTGTGGGCGGTGCTGATGCCTCGCTTTGGTCGCTACATCCTTGTCAAGGAGTCGGTGGTGGATGCTGATGGCTGGTCCAGAAGTGTCTTTACCAAGATGCCGATTGAGCAGGCCGAGGCGCTGAGGAATCAGGAGGCGGGGGAGCAGCAACAGGAGCAGCAGCAGCATCATTTCTGAGGGCTTCCTTTAGTGAATGATGCGGCTGCTTGACTACTGCTGCTTCGTTTCGATTATGACGCAACGATTCAACATCAATGCCAATATTATGGCATAATTCATAATGTTTACATATATCATTTTGCATGGGTGAGGAGTTTTATGTGCTTTCTTTTGCTGGAGGGAAAGGGAAAAAGGGAATGATTGATTTATTAGGGAGGGAATGGGTTGTTTCTTTTTCATAGACTTGTTGTCTTATGATGTCTTTTTTCGAGACTACCTCTTGTGTTTTATTACTAGATATAAAGCTCCTTTCAACAATCGACTGACATATTGCTGAATACTGTTTTTGAAAATATTAAAATCTGCATTTATAATAAAAATAGTATATAAAGTAAATAAGTATGTCCCAGCCCTCTATGGAAGCCCATTCACCGGTAAAGAAAGCATCAAATCGATACTTTCTATTCATGAACCCCTCAAACTGGCTGGTGAACCGTCTGGCAAGTCACAACTCCCGAAGAAGCAGCTCGACAGCCAACTGCCAGATAGAGAAATATCTACCCGAATGGGCAAATCTGGCAACCGGCTGTATGGAGAAGACCTGCGTGTAAGAATGTATATGTATGGAGAAGGAAAGAGAAAGGAACAGGGAAGCAGAAATGGGTGAAAAGATGGACGTCATGTGATTCGGAGAAACCCTCTTCCAAATAGCCCTCATTGTAGGCCTGAATAGGAATGGTAAGGAACAAGGGAGAGCTGATTGCCTGATTGAGCAGGTTAGTTTACTAGGTAGAATCGTTGGTCAGTTGACTGAAAGATGTTAGTCATAAGAGAGATTACCGCCTACCGAATTCAGACGGACGACCGACGGATTTCCCGCGGCAAAAAAAGGGAACATTTCTTTCCCTTTCGAAGATTGCATTGATTTGTTGATGATTTGATGGTTTGCTGGGATTAATCTCTCTTTGTATCAGTAGTAATCGTGTGATCCTGGTTGTCCTTTGATTTGTCTAATATTTTCTGTATTTTTTCTTTCTTATCCATTGGTTTATCTGGGTGTGACTGTGTGTGTGTCTCTTTGTCTATCTGTCTCTTTCTCTGTTAACAGATTCATCCCAATGCGTCGGTTTCCCTCCTCCGCACGGCTCCCGCTGAGCAACAGCAGCACCAGAAGGGCAACAGCAGCAGCAGCAGCAGCTCCCCTCCGCTTCCACCGACTCTCTGCTCTTCCCCGCCCCTCCTCTTCTTCTACTTCTACTTTTAACTTCCCCACTGCTTCTTTATCTACTTCTACTCCCTCCTCTCTCATCTCCTCTTCCTCTTCTTCTTCTTCTTCTTCTTCTTCCTCCTCTACTGTCCCTCCTCTTCATCGCTCTTCTCTTCGTCGTGCTCCCCTCTCTCAAGCTTCCAAACGTTACTGTTCTTATCGCAGGATGTGTGGTGCTCGACGTGGAGAAGTGACCGGCTCGACCAACGTCCCCGGTGGTCGTGAGGTCTTGCCCACCAACGTCAAGCCTCTTCACTATGACCTGACCCTCGAACCTAACTTTGCTAATTTCTCCTACGACGGTACCGTCGTCATTGAGTATGTTCATGTTCTGCCTACCCACCCATGCTGATAACCTGGTTACCCCGCCATCTGGTACACAAGCTAACTCTCCGGAATCATAGCCTTGACGTCGCTGAAGATACCACCTCCATCTCCCTCAACTCCAACGAGATCAAGATCCACAATGCCGTCGTCTCTTCCCAAGGCGCCGTCGTGGCCTCCAACCCCGAGATCTCCCTCAACCAGGACCAGCAGGTTGCGACCATCAAGTTCGCCGATACCATCCCCGCCGGTTCCTCCGCCCAGCTGAAGCTGACCTTCACTGGTGAGCTCAACGACAACATGGCCGGTTTCTACCGCTCCTCTTACAAGGCCGCCGATGGTCAGACCAAGTACATTGCTACCACTCAGATGGAGCCTACCGATGCCCGCCGCGCCTTCCCCTGCTTCGACGAGCCCGCCTTGAAGGCCAAGTTCACTGTGACCCTGGTGGCGGACAAGAGCATGACCTGTCTGAGCAACATGGACGTCGCCACGGAGACCGAGGTTGCGGGCGGCAAGAAGGCTGTCAAGTTCAACACCTCCCCCGTCATGTCGACTTACCTGCTCGCCTTCATTGTCGGTCACCTCAACTACATCGAGACCAAGGCTTTCCGCGTCCCCATCCGTGTCTATGCTACCCCGGATCAGGATATCGAGCACGGTCGCTTCTCGCTGGACCTGGCCGCCCGCACCCTGGCCTTCTACGAGAAGGCGTTCGATAACGAGTTCCCCCTGCCCAAGATGGACATGGTCGCTGTGCCCGACTTCAGCGCCGGTGCCATGGAGAACTGGGGTCTGATCACATACCGTGTCGTGGACGTGCTGTTGGATGAGAAGACCAGCGGTGCCGCCCGCAAGGAGCGCATTGCTGAGACTGTCCAGCACGAGCTGGCCCACCAGTGGTTCGGTAACTTGGTCACCATGGACTTCTGGGATGGTCTCTGGCTCAACGAGGGTTTCGCGACCTGGATGTCCTGGTACTCTTGCAACAGCTTCTTCCCCGAGTGGAAGGTCTGGCAGACCTATGTCATCGACACCCTGCAGGGCGCCCTGTCCCTGGATTCGCTGCGTAGCAGTCACCCCATTGAGGTGCCCGTGAAGCGTGCCGACGAGATCAACCAGATCTTCGATGCCATCTCCTACTCCAAGGGATCGTCCGTTCTGCGCATGATCTCCAAGTACATGGGTGAGGATGTCTTCATCCAGGGTGTGCGCGACTACATCAAGAAGCACGCCTACGGCAACACCCAGACGGGTGATCTGTGGGCCGCCCTGGCTAATGCCAGTGGAAAGCCCGTGGAGGAGGTCATGGACATCTGGACCAAGAAGGTCGGATTCCCCGTGGTGACTGTCTCGGAGAACCCCAGCAACTCCACCATCCAGCTGAAGCAGAACCGGTTCCTGCGCACCGGTGATGTCCGCCCCGACGAGGACACCACGCTCTACCCCGTCATGCTTGGTCTGCGCACCAAGAATGGCATCGACGAGAGCACTATGCTTACCGAGCGCGAGGGCGAATTCAAGGTGCCCGACCTCGACTTCTACAAGCTCAACGCCGACCACTCCGCCATCTACCGCACCTCGTACACCCCGGAGCGTCTGTCCAAGCTGGGTGAGGCGGCCAAGAGCGGACTTTTGAGCGTCGAGGACCGTGCCGGTATGATTGCCGATGCCGGTGCCTTGGCCGCGTCCGGCTTCCAGAGCACCTCCGGCCTGCTCTCGCTTCTGAAGGGCTTCGACAGCGAGGCCGAGTTCATCGTGTGGAACGAGATCCTGACTCGTGTTGGCTCTCTGCGGGCTGCGTGGCTCTTCGAGGATGCCGCCACCCGGGACGCCTTGAAGGCCTTCCAGCGCTCTCTGGTCAGCCACAAGGCTCACGAGCTCGGATGGGAATTCTCGGAGAAGGACGGCCACATCCTGCAGCAGTTCAAGGCTCTCATGTTCGGCAGTGCTGGTATGGCTGAGGACCCCGTCGTCGTCAAGGCCGCCCAGGACATGTTCGAGCGGTTCGCCGCTGGCGACGAGAACGCCATCCACCCCAACATCCGTGGCAGCGTGTTCAGCATTGTGCTGAAGAACGGTGGTGAGAAGGAGTACAACGTCGTCCTCGACCGCTTCCGCCACGCCCCCACTTCCGATGAGAAGACGACAGCCCTCCGCTGCCTGGGTGCCGCCGAGGACCCCGCCCTGATCCAGCGCATTCTGGACCTGGCCAGCAGCGACGAGGTCAAGAACCAGGACATCTACATGCCCCTGGGTGGTCTCCGCAGCCACCCCGCGGGTATCGAGGCTCGCTGGACCTGGTTGAAGAACAACTGGGATGCCATCTACAAGCGTCTGCCTCCGTCCCTCGGTATGCTGGGCACGGTGGTGCAGCTCAGCACGGCCAGCTTCTGCACGGAGCAGCAGTTGAAGGATGTGCAGGACTTTTTCCAGAGCAAGGACACCAAGGTAGGCCTGTCCCTTCGTTCGATTAATTGTTCCCTTCAAGTTGAAGTCGCTAACTCAATTTCTCGTATAGGGCTTCGACCGTGCAGTTGAGCAGAGTCTCGACTCGGTCCGCGCCAAGGTCAACTGGGTCCAGCGTGACCGGGCGGACGTGGAGTCGTGGCTCAAGGCCAACAGCTACAATGGTAAGCTGTAAATCATACTTGCATGACATATTTCGGAATTTATGGCGAATGCCGATTGAAATGAGAATATAAATGAGACCCAACCGACTATGTTCGGGGTGTATAATTAGAACAGAGAAAAAAAGATAGAAAATAAGAACTCGCATCTCCATCAGTTCGTTGTCTGGAAGTTTGTATGATTCGCTGATAAGGTATGATACATACGCCGAGTCCATATCGGCTTGATGCAAATTATAAAAGCAATTCCTCCTCTTCATGAGGTAGTATGATAATTCCTTTTCTATACCGTAGTGATAAGCCTTTCGCCTAGCCATATATCCATCTATTAATGATAGACAAGTGGCCAGGCAGAAAGATAAGAGAGTAAATAACCTACCACCCCGACTTCCCACCACCACCCTCTTCATTATTCTTCTTCGACGAGAATCCCCTCGTCGGTTTCGACTGCGCAGCCTCATGTTTCCGTAATTCCTCCGGAACCCTCGAAATGGGCGACTTGATAAGCATCTGCTTAAGGTCGTACCTATATCACCGTTAGTATCCACGCCAAGGGCATATAAACCAAATAAGAGGAGGGGGAAGGGTCTGGGAGAGACATACATAACATCGGCATCCTCATTACCCAAGAACGTAATAGCAACACCACTCTTACCCGCACGACCGGTTCTACCAATACGATGGGTATAGCTCTCTATACTCGTAGCCATATTAAAGTTCACGACGAGACTAACATCCGGCACATCGATACCACGACCCGCCAGATCCGTCGCAACGAGGACATCCGTACTTCCATT